ACGCCTGGTTTGGTTCTTTAAGGCCCTGTACAGGTCTAAGTTTTAAAGACACAGATCAGCAACGGCATGGACATGCTATAGGATTGACTGGATATTCCCAAACATACGTTCAACAATTAGCTATTGCTATCAAAACGGTTAGTTCTTGATACCACTATCGAAATCAACGCATAGAAGTCTGCTGCCAAATCGCCTACAGCTAGGATCAAACTTGGCAGCCAGGCATTACAAAACGCGTCTGCATTTCCTATGCCACAGACACCGACACTTAGCAGTAGATTTTGTTATTTCATAGTATTCGTTGTTCAAGTTTTCTGTCAGGTCAGATTAGTTCTATATTAAATTTTTCAATCCCAGGTGGTTTATTAGCAGAGACCCCCAGAGGTAGTAAGGAGGAACGTGAAAACGTCGCATCTTGCGTTCACTAGGCCTCTCTGTTGGAACCCATGGACGTATGTTGCGGTGGTATGACTTGAAGGTGGTAGCTCTGCTGATGGGTCTGCAGTTGGGATCTATGAAGTACTGTGTTAAAAAAATATACTTGCTCAATGGCTCTCAAAGCAATTGGGGATGAACACATGTGACTTTAAAAACAAAAAGGGATAGATAACTAATTTGTTGTTTTGTGACTTTGGGGGGGGGGGGGGGGGGGGTAAGGGGATGGGGCACACAAAAATGTCTGTATAATAATAATAATAATAATAATAATAATAATAATAATAATAATAATAATAATAATAATAAAAATTACTCTATTTTATATACAGACATTTATTCTTCAGATTGTTCAGAAACTAAAGTCAATTTCGCTTAAAAAAAAAATTCGTGCTTATCCTTTAAAATCTCTAAGAAATGACAGTTTTTACCTCGTTGTCAAAACTTTCATCAGATTTGTTGTCCAGTGTAATTTGCTTCTAGTACCATCGAAATCGAAACTCCTCGCCGTATTAAGTGTGTATGGGAATGTACCGAGTGATGTGACATCGATTCTTGAACCAACGCAACACAGCTGAACTACAAATTAAATCAAAATCGACTTCTATACTGATACATTGTTTCCGGTTAAAGCGAACTAGAAAGATATTAAACAGCATTAAAAGTCAATGGTTAAGCATCAGCAAGGAGATCAAAACTAGAATTTTGAGAGCATGCATCTTCCCTGTAGTAGGGATGTGAGTAGTGGACTATCTCACAGTCCTTAAGAAAGAGAATATGGCTTTTGAGACGAAATGCTATAGACAGATTCTCAGAATATAGAGGAGAAATACTGACATCTTGAAAGATCTGAACATCAAGGAAAATTGGCTAATAAACAACATTCTGTCTCCGAACCTGAAATATTTTGGTCATATCAAGTGCCACGACGGATTGGAAAAAATAAAGCAGAAGCCACGGTACTAGGAAGGAGGGGCAGGGGCCAACCAACACGAAGATGGGCATAGAATATAAGTGACTCGAATATAAGTGACTCCTTGAGTATGAACGTACGTGAGGCGGAGGAGCTGACGAGAGACCAAGTTTCTTACAGGCAGACTGTGATGAGAGCGACGTTCTGCAAAGGACCTGCTACATGATGAGGGTGAGAAAGATGTACGTTCAATTTAAATATTTCACGTGAACATTGTTCAGAATATTAAATCGTTGCAGCAGCTGCTTACCTCTCTTCATTGTGTCGCTGACAAACATCAAAACACGAACACCAACAATTTTTTTGTGTGGGTGCGGCAGTTTTATCATTTTAGTAAGCATCATATGCCCAAATGCCACCACCCCCTCATAAATGGACCTTTACTCTACTTTGCAAAGAACATATTTGACACTCAAACCCCACTATTCTGGTAATCTGGTAATCCTAGTTTCAGCTTCATAGCAAACGGGTCACCCCACAGTTGCTCCTCTCCTGTGCCAACGAAAAACAAACGCAGCTCACAGTGTCACGCCATGCACTCAATTCAGAAGCTGGGCGACGAAACTGAATCCTTCCAGTCTACAAATGGAGCAAAAATGCAACGGCCATCGTCTGGCAGAAAAAAAAAAAAAAACATTTGCCACGGCTTAAAAAAAAAACAAGGTGGCCGTGTCTAGCGTCCATTTTGACCAGAAGCCTTATATGAGGGTTAATAAACGGTCACCCCAGCAGTACCCTCATTATTAGCTGGGAAAGGGACTTAGGACATTACATCCACCAGCAGGCGTCGCCCCTACAACGACCTGCCTGCCATCGTTAACGACTGTTCACCCAACAGCCATGCAGTTCTTTGGCACGAAGGAGACACCTTGAACTTGGGTTTCGGACTGCCGACTCCCTACTAAGATGTTATTTTATGTTTTGTTATCACAATTGATGTCACTGCACATTAGGCATACCCATGAGTGCTCAGTTCTCCGAAGCAGCAGCCACTCCAAAGTACTTCTACTAATCGTCCCCATAAGAAGCTGGTTATTTGGTCTCTTTTCTCGGCCTCGAAGACGTGCATCACCATGCTTAACTCCCATGTCACGCAATCGTGTTAGTGTCAGGGATTCCTCATTCTCCACTAGCCCAGTTCGTACAGCGTTGACTATATCTGCTCTGTCCACAATTTTTACCGCAATCATTAGTGCAGTGCTTGCCAGTTGGTCTGCTTGCTTATTTCCCTTCACGCCCGCATGACCCGGTGTGTAGATCCAGGTTACGGAGGTTAAGTGCGATTTCCGAATGCTTTCTATTCATTCAGAGCGCATACTGCCTGTTGCTACCTTCTGAAGCATATTCATTGAGTCTGAGACAATTACTACCTATGTGGCGGTTTGCTCTGATACCCATGCTAAAGCTCTAGAAGCAGCGGCTATTTCCATTGTCATGCTTGACGTGGTTGTCTGGTAGGCGCCGCTGTCCTCATGTATTGTTTTCCAATTTCTTTGCGCTGTGTATGCCCATGCTGACCTTAATCCGCGTTTCACGGATCCATCTGTGTAGATGATGGTATCTTCTGGGTCTGAATGCTGATCTATCAGTTCCCTTACTTCTGTGTCTACAGCAGGAGGAATTTGATCCCTGCAGTACCTTCCGAGTGTGATGACAACCTTAGAGTTCTAAATCCAGCATGTAAATTGTTTAAAACTACTTCTTTCATGCGGTATGTGAAAGATAGGCTCTTGTCAAAAGTGATTCCTATATGTTTTAGCGTATTACTCCTCTTCATAGCGACTAGACGCTCGCGTGTGGATCGAAAGGTCGTGGGTTTGCTCGCTGGCCAAACCAGAAAAATTTTCAAAAATTACCTTGACAATCAGGTTGACCCAGCCTTAAGTGGGTACCGGGTGCAGTCCCGAGAAGTAAAGGCGGCCGGCGTGGTGCTGATCACATCACCTATCTTGTGCCAATTGGTTTATAAAAAAATATAGGTCTAGCCCTATATGCCCTAACCGCATAAAGGCGTGGGAAAAAGATCTTCACCTTTACTTACTCATCTTCATGACATTGATAGTGATGTTCGGCACCTCATCTCTACCGGCAATTTATGTTTCTCATTTAACCATGCTGTCGTTAACTTGGATACACAAATTGGGGAAAAAAACACCATAGCTGTGCACCGAGAACCATTTAAAAGTAACATTTATACATGTTAGTCAGTTAGTAATGACAGAAAATTATCATTATAATAGAATGTATTAATAAGACATAAACAGTGAATGTAAATTAGTCGCAGTTAAACAATTTGTTGATCCATTCGCAACATTGATTGGCCGAAAATACTACCTGTTCAGGTACAAAGGAATGAACGTACAATGTCATGTGAACAACATGAATTATATGCAACTAGCATACATTTTTGCCCCACAGTAAATACAAGTATTTGACAGAAAACCTAACTAAAAAAATCAGTAAGACAAAAATTATGCATTTATCAACAGGGAAAATTTTTTACAAAAATTAAGTAAGTAATATTTTAATGAAAGTTAGATAAATTGGAATCAGCTTTTCAGTTTTCAGAGGAACAAATCGTGAACATTCTCCACATTTTACAATTATATTCATAGTTCTATGGATCTTGAATTAAACATTTAACTCATTACCTACACTATGCCGCTCAATTCTTTCATTTCACATACCTGCAGCAATATTTAAAAAAATTAATATAAACTTCAGGTCATGACCAGATGCCAGATCGACAGCGAAGATAGACTAAGAATAGAACCAAGTGATGACTGAATCTGCAACCATGACCAGACTGCAAGAACAACATGCTGAAATTGGTGTGACCAGACAAAATCGCTATGTGGGAAGCCAAGAAAGAATAATAAACCAACACATAACTGGTGACGTAAGCCACAGCACGCTGCAGGATTTACTGAGGAGGGGATCCGAGTTCTTATGGATTGAATGGTTGCAGGATAATCTGTCGACTAACAAACTAAACACTTTAATGAATAGCAATACTCTTTATGCTATCTTCATCTAATTTTCAAGCAAAAAGCAGTCTTTGTTAAGTTGATAACAGTACACTTAACAGGGAATTGCACGCTTTAAAAAAATGTATCATCATCTTCATGTCGCCACCATCACAATCATCATCATCAACCCCACACCCTCATTATCTATATTATCATTACTATCATTTAAAAAAGCGATAAGTGCAAATAAATTAGTGCATTTTTAAATGTCAGTTTCATTAAACGAATTGCTGTCCGAATGGTTAACACATCACAATTAGACCCCCCCCTCCCCTACCCCCACTACACACACAGATCTATATAACAAAGAATAATAACGGAAATAGATAAACACATTAGTGATTCTCCCTCTTAAAATGTAACAAAGGATATAACTTTGTAAGTAGATGAACGCAAAACACAGAAATCGAATTTTGTTTCGTCCATAACAATAATAATAATAATGTTTTTTGGCTCGAGAACATATTCAGGTTGAAAATTTGGCGCGTAGAAAAATCATGTGAGAACCACTGGATTCAGTTCTGTCACACAGGAATAAGAGTTAGCTGACGGTCTCTCGGTTGTTACTTCAGAAAATGATTATCCAGAGTGTTGGTGTCCGATGGTGTGTTCAGCTCCACGTTCTGCGAGAAACACAAAACACAACAACTTTGAGAAGTATGGTTAAGGAATGAAGACCAAATCAACCGTGTAGCTGCAGTGTTGTTCATTAAAAAGGTACTCGAGAATTCTCATTGAAAAAAAAAAAAAAAAGTATTTCTCCCACTTTAGGTTAAATCAACAGAAAATTTATAACATAATTTATTTAATGATATAATTTGCTGTATATCATTAAATGTACTAACACAAAGTTGAAGCATTTAGTTCCCTGTCCTTTATAGGACGTTGCAGAACCACACCAGCATTTGTTATTGCTGTTGCTATATTGTAATTTTAATCTGCAAGTTATCTTGGCTGCGGATCGGAAGGTTTAGGTTTGGGTACTGATGGAGCCTGACTTTTTTTTTTCTAAAATGATTTTGACGCCCAGGTCGACCCAGCCTTAATGGGTACATGTAAATCCTGGGACTACATCACCCACTGAGTGCCGATTGGTCTTTAAAATATTGATCTAGCCTTACATGCGTGGCAAAGTATCCTTTACTTTACCTAATAGACAATTTACATGCAATAGTTGAAGTCGCTTTCTAAACGGTTGTCTCTCGATGCCACTGTCGAAACCAACGGTCTGCTACTATTTCGTATGCAGCTGGGATCAAACCCGGCACCTGGGTATTGCAAAAAACGTTTGCAACGCTGATACCACAGACGCGACACTACATAATTTACATCAATGTAATATAAAAAATATACTGCAATGTTATATGTTTTTATTTCTAATGTCAAATCAGTACTGTTGCATGGGGCGGAGACATGGAGACCAACTAAGGAAATTACTCATAAACTACACATATTTATTAACTGGTGCCTGCTCAGAGAAGAGGGAATTTAATGGTATGATAGAATCACTGATGTAGAGCTTTGGAAGAAAACTAAGCAAGTTTCTGTTGTCCAAGAGGTGAAGACAAGACGCTGGCATTGGATTAGACACGCTCTGTGAAAATCTAAGAGCAATATATCTAGAATGTCTTTGCACTGGAACCCACATAGGGTATAGGAATGAAGGAAGACCAAGAACACATGGAGAAGGGAGCTGGAGGGTGAGATTAGAAAGTTGTGGAGCACATGGGGAGAGCTGCATGTGATAGAATGACTTGGCGTGAGTTGATTGAGGGCGACATTAAAATATACTCAAAAAAAAAAAAGGGGGGGGGGGGAGTCAGGTTCTTGTCATATACTCAAGGGGGGAGTCAGGATCTTGTCATATACTCAAGAAGGGAGTCGGGATATTGTCATATACTCAAGAAGAGAGTCGGGATATTGTCATATACTTAAGGCGGGAGTCGGGATATTGTCATATACTCAAGAAGGGAGTCGGGATATTGTCATATACTCAAGAAGAGAGTCGGGATATTGTCATATACTTAAGAAGGGAGTCTGGATCTTGTCATATACTCAAGAAGGGAGTCGGGATATTGTCATATACTTAAGGCGGGAGTCGGGATACTGTCATATACTCAAGAAGGGAGTCGGGATATTGTTATGTAGTCAAGAAGGGAGTCGGGATATTGTCATATACTCAAGTCTGGGGAGGGAGGGGGGAGGGGGGGGGGGTTGGGAGTCGGGATCCTGTCATATACTCAAGGAGGGCGTTGGGATCTTGTCATATACTCGTGGGCGCGACCTAAAAAAAAAAAAAAAAAAAGAGGGGCGGGGGGAGAGAGTGGAGACCACTGGTTTAGCCTGTTTTCTTATGGTCTCCTTCTATCTCTATTCCCACCATCTTTCCGGTGGTGAAGAAGTATTCGCTTTTTTTCTTTTTCTCGATGTGACAACCGTCTCATGCCAGCAGCTTAGGTTGGTGGTTTGTTAGTTACACTTTGTAGCACAGCTCTCTTCTTTGTTGCGTATGTTGATGTCACACCCCGGTTCGTCTTTAGATTTGCTACAGGAGGAGTCGATTGGAAGATTATTGACGAGCGGAGAAAGATGGTCGTGTCGATTGTGGTGGTAATGGTAATGATGTCTTGCTTGCTACATGCTTCTCACGTGACTCTGATGCTTGTATAATAAAATGTCTGGAAACGACTGTTCTTGCCTATACTGTCTTTATTATGATACTTCAACAATGTCACAGAATAACATCAATGATATTCTGAAGGGCGCTGTTTTCTCTCTATAGTTACATAGTCTTAAGTTTGCGTTGTGTTTTTCATCTCTAGTTACTTTGTTAACTGGTTTTAGTGTCTGCAGCTGCCACCTGGCTTCTAGTGCTGTTTGGTACTAACGGCTTGATCGTCGACTCTAACATCTCTATAGTGTTTTTACCTAACGATTCTCTGTTAACCATGGATCCAGGTATCTTGTGTGTTGTCTCTGTAGCTCGATGTGTTGTTTCATGTCTCTTCTCTAGTTTCTGTCTTCGAGGCTCAATGTGACTGGCTCCTCTCCTTCTTAGTCTTGAGCTGGCATCTCCACAACTGTAAGTGCTCTATGAGGGTCCATGTTACTAGTCCCTCGTCTTCTAAGTCTTGTAGACTGGAAGCTTTCTTTGAGGATCAATATGACTGGTCCCTCCTCTTCCTAAATCTTGTAGACTGAAGAATTACTCTAATAGTCTCTCACTCATTATTTATACTTGGATGCTGGAATGCTAGTTATTTGTTTTCTTCTTACTTTTTCTGCTTTTAGAATATTCTAGTAAGTCTCAACATGTTTACTATGTGCGTTCTCACATGGGATTTTCTAATAATATATCAATTGCATCACATTTCATAATCCTTTTCTGCGCAAAAATAGCAGTTAAATTGACAGCTGACGTCATTGGGACTCCTAGAAAACAAGTCCAACTATGTTCTCTTTGAAAGTGCATATCAACAAAGACGTCAAATACTATTCACAAAATATTGTTGCTAAGACCTGTTGACTTTCTTCTCATTAACCAATACGCAAAATTCTATCTCCTGACAAACAAGTGATGACGTCAATATTTAGTTTTGGTGAGAAAAAAATGTTACCAAAACTTGTTGATCTCGGTACATCCCGGCTATGCGCCATATACTAACTCCAACAAACAAGTAATGACGTCTCCCTGTTACAACTTGTGTCGTCATCATCACAATCTTCATCAACGTTGTTGACATCGTCATCATCGTCGAAGTCATAGCTATCGTCATCATCATCATCATCATCACTACCATCATAATCATCATTATCAATCACCTGGCGGACTGGCACGGTCGATACCGCGTCTAGGCATCTCATGATATCCATCAGAAAGTATTAGTTTATGTGGTGACATTTGTCTTTGACGTAATGTGCAGTTATTAAGAATCTTCCCACGCTGTCTGCAACCTAAAGGTATATTTAAAAACACGAATGAGAACGAGCAGTTAGATAATGGAATAAAAGAACAAATTAACTTACGTTTTGTTTCTTCTTCTTCTCCTTGTACTTTCGGTATATTCTCTCTCCGATGTCGAAAACGATTGCAATGCCAATGAAAGTAGCAAGTACAATGAAGACACCGATCATGTTGGTTAGCTCCAGTTCTGCTGTAGTTTTCTCCCCGACCGACAAAGTGTCATCTTCGCCAGTACAGTTTCGACCCACAGCCCACCATCTGTTGACATGTTCAGTTACTTATTCAGTTACGTGTTCAGTAATGTGTTCAGTTACGTGTTCAGTTACGTGTTCAGTTACGTGTTTAGTTACGTGTTCAGTAACGTGTTCGGTAACGTGTTCAGTTACGTATTCCGTTACGTGTTCAGGTACTTGTCCAGTTACGTGTTCAGTTACGTGTTCAGTTATGTGTTCATTTACGTGTTCATTTACATGTTCAGTTAAGTGTTCAGTTACGTGTTCAGTTACGTGTTCAGTTACGTGTTCAGTTACGTGTTCAGTTACGTGTTCAATTATAATAGCTTTGGTAACTTCTAGTTACATTTTTAACTGGCCATTTGAAAACAAAATAGGCAATCGCCTACAACAGTTGCGTCATGTATTTATTTACATATACAAGTAAAGTAAAGTAAAGATCCCTTTTCAATCCTTTAGGCGCATCGGACACATGGGAAGAGTGCCCATATTTTTACAGACCAGCCGGCAATAGGTGGGTAATGTGATTAGCATTACGCCGGCCATCTTTACTTCCCCATGATATACATCCTTGTACCTATTTTAGGCTGGGTCGACCGGCGACGCCCCATACCATGATAAAAATCCACGCAGCCAGCAGTAGGTTTCGATTGCAGTACGATGGAATAACGAGTCGGACTCGCAACGCCTAAGCCACGGAGGCCGCATATATATATATATATATATATATATATATATATATATATATATATATATATATATATATATATATATATATATATATATATTTTGACCGTTGAAAAACCCAGTAGTACATGTCTTAAAACTAGAGTTAACCAACATTTTTAAATGACATTTTCATTTGCAGCACATAAACGTTAGTTAAGATCAGCTATTTTTATTCGGGTACACTTTGTTAGTTGATTAGTAAAGTACGATGCAAACTTTTCTCGTGCGGGTTGCAGGACCCTATTTTGGCTCCCCAACCCCCCCCCCCCCCCCCGCCCACTCCCCAAAAAAGAATAGACCAACTGCTTCGTTAACAAGCATGTCGTAAAAGGACTGATTAGGGGTGTTTTATTTGAAGTCTGAGTGCATTTGCCTAAGATGCCAGGTACCAATAAATAGGACAGATTTGTAAAAAGGGATGCACGCAAATCCAGGCTCTGGAACAAGACTAAGGCCCAGAAGGAGATCAGTTCCTGGTTGGTAAACTGGACTGCAGCGGTCATGTATTCTCGGTGGGCTGCTCTCCGTCTGGGTTTATGGATCTCAGAACCACGCTTTATAGGCTCAGGACAGACACACGGATCCGCCATCTCACCTGTGCTCTTTAAATTGTATACGAGCAGGATTGTAACATTAGAAGCAGCAGGAGTTGGAAGAATACTAATATTTGCAGATATACTCGTATATAGGCAGAGGCAGCTTGAGAGTGTGGCTGTCCAAGGTATTTTAAGCATTTTTCTGTTAAACCACATCCCGGAGGCCTCAGGAAATTGTTTGGCCTGCCTACCGATTGACCAGGCAATCAGCCATATGTTAAAACTGGATGCTGTACCACGCAACCGGGTCGCAGTTGCCCCCGCTACGACAGACTTAGGCAACAGCAACTATTGTGTTAATGAGAGAGTTATTTCAGTCTATCGCAGTGCTGCAGAATGGGCGTAAGTTAACTACTATTTGTATTCGGCCCGACCGCAAGTATTCGGCAGAATACCGAATAGTTATTAGGTCCACTATTCGGCCCCGAAGCGAATATTAGGTACAGCCCTATATTATATTTATAAATATATTGCAGATTATGGAGAGACATGATCGCCCACGCCAGTCGGCAAGGCACCTGATGATGATATATATATATATATATATACATACATACATACACACATATGTGGTCTATGGATGATATGGATCTAACATTTGTGTAATTAGCTAACCTGTGGCGATTGAACAAGGCAAGGAATAATAAATGCACACGTGGAAACCGTCAGGTTGAGGGTTTAAAACCTCATAGTCGATTTTTGTGTGTGTCAAAAATAAAATTGGCTATTAGGTGAACACAGGCCTGGAAAGTAAAGGTGGCCAGTACGATTTCGACAACATCACCCACCGAGTGCCAATTGTTCTATACAGTATAAGTCTAGCAATAGGTAATGTAATGGGGGATATTTTCACCCTGATTGAGAAGGTTTTTTTTTTTGGGGGGGGGGGGGGGGGAAGCCCCAGGTTCATTATAAAACCGAGAGAAACCAGATACTCGGATCAATCGAGGTTTTCAAGGTAGGGAACGACCACGTCTTACCACGTGGAGCCCAAGGAGAACGACCGCAGGTCGCCAAGTGGAAGCCAAGAACGACCACGTGTTGCCACGTGGAACGAACACTGGGTATAAGTTCAGACCCCAATCTGATCAGACAGTATGTGTTGACCGTCAGAACGAGAGGACGTGAGAGTGATCGAGTGTGAATGAGGACGTGAAACTGATTGCTGCAAGATGACGACCAGACGATAACATCCATTGAAGTAAGGTCCAGTCAACCCAGTTGTGTTAAACTCAATGCAGTAACCAGATCCATCTATGCAGTTACCCAATGAACCTAAGGGTGTGGATATTGTCCGTTACTCTATCTGAACACACATGTATACTTTGGGAGACCTACCTGTCTTTGAGACCATCCAGCACGCCACCTTCTTTCAATTCTAGGAGAGCTTTATTGATGTCATCCAGGTATGGGGCCCCTGTAGATTGAGGAAGGAAATAATCAGCGAAGAGCTCACGGAGAAAGAACTTTTGTTTAAATCTGCACCAGGAGGGATATTATTTTAAACTGCCTTGGCTTACAGATCGACCCAGTTTAAATTGTGCCCGATGTACCTAAGGTGCATTTGCGCTCTTAGCTGCCTGTCTGGTTCGGCTTGTAAGTGTTTGATTCATTTTCAAGGTAAAGATTGTTTAAAAAAAATTTAACTTTGATCAGCCCACAAGAAAATGAACAGCAGGTAATATTATGGAAAGCAAATCAGCTGTCACAATACTGACATCAATAGAACACCTAGTGCAATTTAATTTATAAAACATTGGTAAATAGGGATATATTCAGTACGTGTCTTAAGGTGGAAATTGATCTTTAACTTTTTATGTTTTTAAAATTAATGTTTTTTTTTTTTTAAATCTGTCTAATTGCATGATATTATCGTTGGATGTACAGCGTGAGCCTGACAGACAATTTATCAATTACACACATTCTTAATGATGCTAAACTAACTTCTACTCTCTCAGTAAATCATATATGACACATATGTTCTTTTTATAAATCTAAACTAACTGAGGTCAACTCTTTTGGTCAAGAATTTAAGATACAGATTTTTCTCCACACAATAATACCAAACTATTTACAAACTATCCAACTTCTACGCTCTTAGTAAATCATATATTATACACATATTTCTCTAGATTATAAATCCAAACTATCTGATATCAACTCGCTTGGTCAAGAATTTATAATACAGATGTTTCTCCAAAATGATGCCAAACCGTCTTAAGTCCTATCTCTGGTTCAGTCATTTCTGATACAGATGTTACAGCCAGTGTCCGTAGCGAAGTGGTCAAGCCGTTTGCCTGGCGCTCTGGAAGTTGTGGGCTCGTTTCAGGATGTGTCGTTTGCTTTTGGAGTGCACATTTAAAGGGAACCCATTGGAACAGTCGCCGTAGCTACGGTGTTCGTGCTTTATGTGACGTTATTTTGAGGCGGCTAACCGTTATGCTGAGAGAGACTGGACCATATGGGATAAAACACGGTGGGATAAAGTCAATCCTTTCAAAGTTAATTTTTAACAAACAGTCCTATGTGCCAAGATGTTGCACTAACTAACGTTTTCTCTCTTTTTCTTTCCCTTCTGATGCATGTGGTGTTCTAAACAACTATTTTACACTATTTAAAGTCTTCGTTCTTGTTCTAACATTTCTGAATAAACGAGACCCTAGACCTCCAGCAGCACATTGTCTAAAGCCTTCCCTCTTGTTTGTCATTTCTGATATCGATATTTTACGCAGATCAACACATTGATGCCAAACTGCTTAACATCTTCTGATTTTTGTCTCACCAGGGTCCCCTTTTCCCCCTAACATTCCTGGTGTCATTACGAAATACTCCAGTTTTTACTACTCATACAGAGTGAAGCTGGAGTACGTCCTGATATGCAGTCATATAGCGAAGGAGAGAACGACTGGCGTGAGTTGGTTTAGGGTCTATGCTCCACTAAGAGATAGAAGGCAGAAGAAGAAGACTTCCTGATAACAACTTAATGGTGATTAGATAAGTGTACGGAACAAAACTCACCTCTTGGAAATCCCAAACTGTAATCCTTGCTTTGAAAATTTTGGTCTATACTCTCAATACCGCAATGCTGGTTGGCATAGTAACCGTTAGTGACGCCATCAGAGATAAAAGCCAATTTACCAGATTTGACCTTCTCAATGATTTCACTTCTGTTGGACAGGATGTATTCTGAATCTTTCAGTTTCATGAAGGCCCACATTCGCTCATATGGATCCTCTTTCTTTTTCTGTCAGAGGAGAACAATCAGTCAAATGTAAAATGTTGATATAATCGGCTTTCGTAGCGTTTGGCATTAGAATTCCCTGTATTTAATTATCTTACTTCGTTCCACATGATCTTTTCGTTTTTGTGTGTGGTTTATGATTCCTGTTGTTTTATTGATGCATAAATACTGGTAGACATATTCGGTAGAATTTGTAACAGTCTTGTCCTTTCCCTTCTCTTAGCTTTTTATTCATTACCTATGTTATATTGACATACCTCTTGCACAGGGCTGAGGTCAACAATGAAATATCCAAAAGTCGTAGAGAAAGCATCACTAATCTTAACCCATCCCCAACCATTCTTTATGAGCTGAACGGAATCATGAAAAGCAATCTTGTGCCGTCTTCAGAAAAGATGTTGGCTGCAATGTACCTATTTCTGTCTATGGATATATTACAGGGTAATACCCCAAACTTTTCTGTGACGGAGCTCAACTATCATACAATGACAGGCACAGAAACAGTCTTTTTCTAAACCGCCCTCTCGTACACCGCATTGTGAATTCTAAAAGGATCCCATTAACCTCTAAGTGAAACTGAACTATGACCTGGTTAAATTTTCATTTGTCTTTGCAGATATAGTGAACCAATGTTGGTATTGCACACCATGCTTATGTGTTAGCTTATTTAGCAGATATAGTCAGAATACTGTAATAACAACTCCCACTCAACCGATGACGAATATAAAACAAAATCAAGCCAGGCCAAGACGTGTTGCACCAACAGAGGGGGAAAACAACATAAGGAATGACAATATAAAAAAAAAAAAAAAAACTGATACCTAATACAGTAAAATACAGAGGCAATTTAAATATATGCATTGAGTGGGTACCAGGGGCAGTCCCGGAAAGTAAAGGCTGACCACATCAACCATCTTGTGCCGATCTGACCCATTCATTCCCCCCCCCCCCCCCCGCAAAGCAAGCCAAGCCAAGACGTGTTGCACCAACTGAGGCAGATATGGCAACCTACGTGTAAACAACAACACATGTCAACAGTGCTGGGTTTAGATTTAGGCTAACTTAGCTACAGCGTGGGGCCTCACAAACTGCAGGGGCCTCAACAAATACCTTTTTCTTTCAGAAACCTAGTTTTCTTTTAATAAAGCTTTGCCTTCAAGATGATTATATACATAATATAATTTATGTAATTCTACAAACACGTTCTTTTTTTTTTACGTCTTTCGTTTAATATTATAAGTCATCATCAATCCTCTTTATACCTAGTAGAACATGAGGCTTCAGATAGGACTTTCCATGCTTTCCTGTCCTGTGCAATCTTGAGTACAATTTTCCGTGTCAAAGATGCCGCACTCAGGTCACTTTCCATCGTTCGTCTCTATGTTGTTTTGGGGCGCCTCTTTTTTTCTGTTTACCTATGGTGTCCATGTGAGAGCTGCTTTGGCAGGTATACCAGGATTCATTATCACAGCGTGGCCAAGCCATTTCATCTTCTCATGGTTATCATGCTGTCTAGAGTTTCTTGGTTTGTGACTTGAAGTAGCTTAGTGTTTGAGATTGTATTTGGCCAGAAAAATTTGATAATTCTACGTAGACATGTGTGGTGGAAGGTGGATAGCTCGTGCGCATTCTTTCTTTAGCATTCTGCTCCATAAAGAAGAACTGGAAAAATGATGCTCTTGTAGAGTCGCAGTTTCGTTCCTCTGCAGAAACTGTTTGATTTTCAGATTTGCATTATCCTTTCAAAATCAGCTCTAGCTTTGTTCAGACGTGACTGTATGCCTTCCTCTGTTTTTCCCAGTAGGGACACCAATATTAGACGACAATATTTTTCTATCATCGATATATTCAACACGTGTACATATATTAATGTTTTCTCAGAATAGCTGGTGTAATTTACAACAGTAAGATGCTGCTAGGGGTTATACAGCTTAGGCCTTATCAAGTTTAAATCTAGCCCTTCATGCCAGCCACCCTTCTAAGAGCCAACGTTCTCCAGGTCATGCTGGTGTGTTAGGGAATGAGTAGTAGAATAGACTAGCAGGTTTTGCACCACTTGCTGTTTAATTGTTGTATGATAAGCTAGATTTGAGGGCTCTTTGGTAGCGAGTGAACAGTGCGGAGGGCACGAATAAATGATTACGGTCTGAGAAGAATGGTATTGAGGGGAGTTACCATTTGATCTGGCTAACACTAAACACTAGGGGGAACAGCGGGAAAGATGTACAATCAGACAGTTACTGATGCCATCGGATTGGATCTCTTCGTTTGGTGCTGAAGATGAAGACGGAGAGCTTGTGGGAGTTTCCCGCTGTGATGTCGATTCTTAATTCAACCTTCAAAATTAAACATTTAATTCTACGTTGAGAGGAAACATAGCAGTAACATTAGAAACAGAATATTCAAGTAAACAAGTGAAAACTTGACAAAACTAAAACATCCTACCATGAAAAAGTGCATGATGTCACTGTCTTTCTCCACGCCATATTTCTGCTTGGTTTGACCCGCCAGATCGTAGATGGACTTGATCCGATCTCCCATCTGTTGCAAGGTCAGGTAGGCAGCAAGGTTAGCGGTGTAGGCAGCTTCGATAATCAACACACAGAACCAGAAGAAGGCTATGATGGCTCGCATTGAGGTCGTTTGAGGAGAGTAGTCAGTGGAGCCCTGTTGATAAGTTAAAGTTCAGAACCCGTGTCACCTCACTGGACTTTATTTACTTCACTGGCCAATAGGTCATAAGGCACTAGACTATGCTCCTGTTAGCACCTCTGACGGCAGCCTCATGCATTTAATACATGTGTATGCTATTAGATATGCTAAGACTGTAGTTTGTGTCAATTTTTCCACAAGGGACAGTGACGTGCATTCTGTATGGTTTCCATTGGTACAGGAAATGGAGCAGCTATGGGCTGACCAGTTTGCTATAAAGTTAAAACTGCGAATACATGCTAAACTTACCTACCTGCAGCACTATGTTGAGACTGTACCACAAACTTACTTACCTGCAACACTATGTTAAGATTGCACCAGAGACTTACTCACCTACAGCACTATGTTGAGACTGTACTGCAGACTTACTTAACTACAGCACTATGTTGAAACTGTACCACAGACTTACTTAACTACAGCACTAT